TTAACGAATAAAACTCATCGTATTGTTTGGCGAATAAAACAGACAGTTATATATTTCTAACAAGTCATAATCTGCATGGCGACGCATTTGCTTATTGACTACGCAGCTGCTCGCTATTCTCTATGGATGTTCGCGACGCATTTGTTTATCGCTCACGAGCGACATTTTAATTTTCCGACCATTTGTAATAGTGGTCGTTACGAATTTGTGCTGCGAGATGCAGATTCAATTAGATACCAATGACGATGTTGGGTAGAGCAGCGAATGTTCGTGACACTGGGCCGCAGGTGTTTCCAACGACCAGTCGCTTCGTGTTCGGAAATAGTATTTACTACTACCGATTGGTCGGAATTCACTCGGACGCGCGTTACATTTCGAGAACAATCGCCACCATCGTACTTCTATTATTGATTATCGCAACCTTATGCGGAGAAAATTTTATATCAAAAATTACTATGTACGGCCAGTAGTCGCGAACCGTGAAAGAATTATACAAATTTTTACTACGTTTCTCACATAATGGCTATTTAAACTTATAATTCCTCTTACGGTCTGCGGCTACTGCCGAATCATGATAATTTTTTATATAAAATTTTCTTCTCGTGTACTTTAAGGATTTTCCTTACGAATCGTAGTGTACATTTCATAAATCAAATAAAAGAGCGGCAAAAAGTGTTGCGATTTAAATAAAATGTGTATGTCAAAGAAGTCTTTTTTAAATGCAATTTCTGAATTTTTTGTGTGAAATGGTGAAAGCTTTAGAAGCTAGATAAAGAACAGCTTACTCGCCACACTCGGCGAACTAGAGGATTCCGTCACACAAATCTCACGTTAAAAAGACAGTTTTTCAAGCAACTGCATGGAAACACCATTTTATTTTAAATATACGCGCTGTTTTCCACTCATCTCTGTTTGATATTTAGATGTTGTGCATGAAAACGTAAAACAGATTTTTTTTACGAGATTTGCTCAGTTTTAAACTTTACCTACATTTAAAATGCACATAAAAAATGCACGGACAGTGATTTCTCCATCTCACACGCCAGTTACGTTTGTGAACTTACGAACAATACTGCAGATAGCCGTCGCTGTTTATAGTTGTTTAATATTGTGACTGTAACTAGGGTGCCAGCCCCGGAGGTACACATGGAAGTGTCGTCACACTTGTTATTTCCCACCGGAAACACGGCATGTACATGTACAGCTATATAACCGCCTCGTTGTCGTGCTATTAACCCTTTTAGGATTAGGGTTTACACAATATATACATAGTTCGACAACTACAGATAAGACTATCGAAGATAAAACTTGTGCAAAATTCGAATCATTTATTCATTTTTGGAGAAAAAAGGATGCAGTTTTGGAGAAAAAGAAATACGTTTATGAACTAACAGAACTAAGTATTTTGTGCTAAAAATCCGAAAATTGCTAAAATGATAGCACGCAATGAATTATGAAGAAAAAAACCTGAATTTGTGAGAAAATTCCATCCGTTACGACGAAATGGCCGGCACATCACCTTCGGCTAGCGACGTCATGAAATTCTCGGATAACCGCCGGAGAATTTCATTTTGTCAAATAAAACTTGTCCGTGTGGACAGTTTTGCCGGACATAGGAACAAGTAGGGAAAAACCACAGGAATTCCGTTATTAATCTTTTTCAGAGGAACGCGTTTTAAATCGTTCTGTGCGCAATTTTCAAATACATTACGTACTTGTGATGCTTCCTAACTTAACAAAAAATTCGCTAAAAAATCGAATTTAACACCTCTCTCTCTCTCTTTCTCTTTTGTATTCCTTTTTTTTCACAGCTCTCTTTCTTAATGCGATAAATTCAGCATTTGCAAAATTTTGTTCTAAATATTATAAATTATAAATAAAAATATAAATAATATAAAACAAAATAAAAATAATATAAAATAAAAAAGCACTAATGAAATAAATAATAAATTAAAAATTATGGAAAAGTATTAATTTCTTTTTTCTAATTAAAAAAATATTTAAATAAATATTTTATAGTTTTGCAATAAGAAATACGCGTTTAAATGATTAATTTGACAGTTTGTAAAAAAATTGAAAAAAGTACAATTATGCAGATCATGTCGACATGATACAAGATCTTGTGAAGAATATGACAGTTTAAACGTTGACTTGTACTACTTGAATATTGTGATACGTCCTGTAATGCGTATGAATTAGTATCTTGTATTCAAAATTGACACCAGAAAGTGCACCGCAAAGATATTTACGAATTCATGCTTCTTAAGAGTGCACAGCTAATATTTTCATTCGACTTTAAAACTTATTCTTTCGAAAAACTTGAACGGGATAAACTTGCTTATCGAGACTTTCCGGTGAACCACGCGAAACTTTCTCGTCTTCGAACTGACTTTTCGATGTGATTAGATTCGTCGGAAATATAACTCCCTCGAAGAAGCAAAACTCTTTCGAGCCTTTCGAGATTTCATAAGAGCGATCTTGTTATGCTTTTAATTATAGTCCTTTCATTAAAGTAGGGATTCCAATTACGGCTAGTCTATTTCAGCTTAAAATAATGATCAATATCGACAAAAATATAGTTTCTTCATTTTGCTCTTTATTATATAATTTTCTTAATGCTGTCAATTATATTATTCAATTTTTCTTTTATTTATGTCATTTTATGTATTTTAATTTAATTCTCTATAGTCTTTTTCTTATAATACAATATAATACTTTTCAATATGTGTCACATGAGTTGCTTTGCATAAATAAATCTGCTGGCTTTTGTATAAAATAGATCAAATACTTTTATACTAACAGAGAAAAATCTGTTTATCAAGGGAAAACATGCAATTTCTAGGTTATTCTGTATAAAATATGTAAATCCAATATATTGCACAGCTTGTGAAATGTATACTTTGCTGCAAATCAATAGTTGCTAATTAATTTATGTTATGTCCAACCAACATTGACGGTAGTCTATCGTTTGTCATTATTACGATATTACGATATTACGTATGCCACCGCTAATTATTCCATCTGTGTATTTTATCGGTGAAAGGATATATTGCCTAAAGTACATTGCGGATCCGCTTATTTTCTTGCCGCTCTTCAAAAGCTGGACTTTTAGTTTGCGCTGAACGAAAGAGAACGATGAACAAAATGGAAACAGAAAGGACTTCAAAGTATCTTTCCAACTCGCGGAAAGTAGTGCAAATACGCAAGCACGAAAGAAAGAGATAGGGCAGAAAGAGAAAACGGTGAATTGGCGTCGAGATAGAAGTAGTATTAATTTCCTCGAAGCGCCAGAGATTCCATTGCATCACTCCCCGTCTCTTCCAAAATCTTACTCTTTCCTTTGTCTGTCTCATAATACTTGTGATAACGTAGCTAGTTTATCGCTTTGAGAGAAAGTGGCACGATTTTTTTTTCTTTATTAAAATCTGAATATAATATTAGCCATAGTAAGTTCTTGATTTCTTGATAATTAAATGTGTGAATATTGAATTATACGTGGTCTAGCAATTTTACAGACTTCAGAAATACAGTAAATTCATAGACGTGTTTTCTAGTTAATCTAACATCTTAAAAATCCGATAAAAATAATTATATTAATGTTTTATTTCTTTCTTTATATTCTTTGTTCCAATTATTTGTATAAATAATGCGCTAAATAATAAGATAATGAAGAAAAAACCATTGAGAATATATATGCTTGCATATATCATATCGTACGATACAGTTAAACCAAATCTAATGAAATTATAGATCATTTATGATTGATAATTATAATTAATGAATAACCATTAATCATAATTATTGATCATCGGATGTTATTAAATTACGAGTTATCGATGAGAAGATAAACACATATTTGTTTAAAAAAATCAAGTGTAAAAACTAGATTAATTACCGGTCAATGCATCGCCACTGGTTATTACTTCTTTCCATTTCTGCTTTATTCTTAATTGCTCGTTTTCACTTCCAGTAATCATTCTCATGACTACATCACATAGTCTAGATTCTCTAGATCACTTTACACTCGCGTACTTAATTAATTTACGTACATTTCACACGAAAGATGCATTAACCGTTACCGCGCAAATTGATTAATGTACTGAAATGATCACCTGTTTAATCCGACACTTCCGATATTTTTTCACACGCAAAATTTACTCGAGACAGTTAAAGAAAACGAGGTTAGAATTTTGACGTGACGGTTAATGCAGGTTAGGACGCTATCGCAGTGTTTGTGGCGCAAACTAATCGAGTATTAACTAAATTCACGGCGCCACATTTATGCACCTTATTTCACGCTATTACGCGGCAAAAATCTCAATACCTAAATCAAGCGATATCATCTATTTCGATGATGCCATCGCGGTAATATCTCGCTTCTATCAATGTTTCTCAATGTTTCTGATGCTGAATAATAAATTCCCGATGCTCATCCGACAAATGAATAATGCGATCATGTACAAGAAACGCGTATCGGAATATAGAGCTTTACTACGGAACGCTAAGCAATTAGATTTCGTTGAAAGTCGCACTGATTGCGATTGCACAAGTGTGTTAATGCTTCAAGACGATCATCGTCGCTAATTGCAGAAGTTTTGACATTCATTCACACGCAAAATTTACTTGAAGCGAGTAATAAAGGTGCAAGAATGCGGAGCAATCACTATCCGGCCGCGACACTAGAATGTTCGACGCGAAATAATGAGACCGTTACTCAATTCGTGACGTCACGTTTATACGACTATTTTCACGTATATCTCGATATCTCGCAATCAGCAGTGTCACTTGCCTCGATTGTGGCGCTCGTTTTAAAGTGTTTGTCAATTTCATGAACAATTGTAAAATATCAATTATAAATGTATCAGTATCAATGATACTACTTATCTCATTTTTAATCACAATAGCATAACTAGATACATTTTGAGAAAAATATTCTACATACAATAAAATAAATATTATTCTATATTATACATATCAATATTTTCTTCTTTATTTTATAGGAGCGGTAGGCGGCGAAGGCGGTGACGAAGATGACAAGGAGAAGGAGGAAGAGGCCGAGAGGGAGAGGTTGGAGGCTATCAGGGAGGCCGAGGAGCGAAGGAAGGAGAAGCACCGTAAAATGGAAGAGGAACGAGAGAAGATGCGACAGGAGATCAGAGACAAGGTCAGCAATAGTGATTCTACGATAGTATTTTCGATTAGAGTAAAATTGCACAATCGCGATGTCTTCATAAACTCATTAGGAAATGTATTTCTTTATAAAATATTAATGTTTTAATAGACTTAGTAAAAAATTATTTTTCTATAATTATTTTCGAATTCGAAAGTAAAGTTCTGACACAAATATGAACTATGAAATATGAAAGTAAAGTTCTGACATAAATATGAACTGAACGATACATGTTCGTAAATGTGGAGTTTTTATCAGTTTTATATTAACCGAAGATAGCTTTTTTTGATGCCATTAATTATTCTTGGAACGATCCAATTAAAAACGCCTTTAATTAACAATTAAAATATTACAAAAATTACTTATACGTAATTCTGGGACATTGGATATGAGACAGAATTACTCGTGATTATTTTTATTGATATCCGTGGCAATATGTAAAGTGATATCCGAAAGTTTCCAGAATTTTGTATTTTGGATAGAATTATTTGACAGAATTGTAAATCGTGTTTTTCAGTTAATTACAAGTGAATTTTACTCCCGACTATAAATATCAGTGCACGAGTCGGAATATCGCCACGTGTTTTTCCGCGCTTTCCGCACGAGAGTCCTCGATTTCATCTAGGTCATGTCAACGCCGTTGACTCCGTCCTGACAGGACAATACATCAGGATTGATAATGGCGCGATCCAGCGTGCATTTTACATCTTTTTCTCTCCCTCTTTCTCTCTCTGTCTCTCTCCCCTTTCCTCTCTTCATTCACACGTTTGTTTCCCACCAAACACTGGTGAGTGCGTTGGAAGTTTTTTGTGAGATCCCGTTGGCGTACATTGTTCTACCCCCGTTTGATCAATGCTCCGGACGGATTCTATTTTCTATGGTATTCATCCTGATTGCTTTGTCCTCCAGAAAAATGTCAAGTGGACTAACTGATCGGATCGGCTTTAACGAAAGTTCAAGAATCGACTTCTCGTGTCATCAATAATTTTTACATTAATATCGGATGAAAAGTAGATGAATTACGAGTAACATGCTTAAATATTTTTAATATATTTTTTTACAACAGAGTGATCACATATTTAGATACGATCCCACAGTCTGTTGCAAGTTGCAGGAAGTTGATAGCAAATTTAACTAGTAATCCTTCACCAATATTTATCCATCTAGATTGGTGAATTTTGCGTGACGTTAATTGGAGCGAAAACGCGATTATCTCGTATGTAAACAGAAAATGATATCGTTGAAGGGACTAAACGCGTAATTCGACGTTGTGGGACGTAGTTTGACGACCTGTGTGTATGTATATGTGTGTTGTGTGTGTGTGTGTATGTGTGTGTGTGGCATACCAACCGCACTGTTGCAGTTGTAATTCCACATGCGGAAGTGGTCGCTGAGTGGTCGAACGTTGTAACCATTATCATGAGCGAGCTGAATATAGAAGGTATCTTGGGCCAACTAAATTAGTAAATTAGTAATATGCATATGTGTGCTTCGACGAAATTACGTGCAATAGTTCAAGAATTTGTGCAAAATGTCAAGAATTTAGAGAACAGACGTGTTTGCAAATCTATTCCAAGAATTTAGGCATTTCGAGATTTAAAACTTGATTAAATAGAAATTTAAATGGCCAGTTTAAGCGGATTAAAAAAAAGGCCAACGATTAAATCATAAAACAGTAATAAAGAACATCAAGTTAAGAGTTGGACAGATGTAATATAACGATAGAATTGAGTTGCAGCGGCTTCATTACTCTGTGAAATCCGGATAAAAATCGTCTTCTTTCAACGAAGGATTTCCGGATTCGTTCATCTTTCCGCGGTTTTATGCGCAAAGCAAGAGGATCTCGATGGAATATAATTAACACTAATAGCTGCTTCATCATAAGCGAAAGAACCACCGTGAAATCCTTCCTTCCGTTTCGGCGGTAGAAACGTGATTCTTCGAAAACGAGCGGAAAGATTGAGACACGAGAGCCGCGATCTCTCATGAGAATAGAGCCTCCACTATTCCAGCGTAGTAGTGGAAGAGGCTTTGGCATGGTAATCGCATTGGGTCAGGTCAAATCCGATTTCCCATCTCGACTAATGAACGAAGTGGGACTTTGTTACAGAAAAGTCCCTGTGCAATTTGGAAATATTCCCTTTGTTACTTTATTTAGAAACTAGTCTTGAGAACTCATTGCAAGCATATTCAGTCATATTCTGACATTATTATATCATATTTCTATATTTTGCTTTGCTTTATATTTTGCCATGTATTATTTTATCTTTATTATGTTATTACATTAGTGTAAAAATATTATTTTGCAACGCTATTATCATATCAAAGCTGTATAACGGATTAAAATCCACTTAATATTCATAGAGCATATTTGTATTCGTTCCGCTACATGCCAATGCCATACATTTTCATTGATGTAAAAAATATGTTTATGAGTTTTTCAAGAGGCAAGATTTTATTCTAAAATAGTTAGATTATATAAAATAAATCCTTAAACAAAAACATTAAAGCACATTAAAAGCACCGAAAAAGATGTCAAAAATTATGTTATTACTGAAAAGATAACAATGCTTAGCAAACAATATTCTCAGTAAAAATATTAATACTTAATTAAAAAAACTGATAAAAAAACATAAAAGAATACTGTAAAGATAAAGAAATGAAAAGAGATTTGATAGAAACTTAACGTGAAATTGAATCCGTAATCTTGAAAATCTGGGAGTGGTTTAAGGATATTTAAGTCCTTCTCGAAATTTCTTTTCTACTTCCTACCGTTTAATGCAAATGCATTTCATTCCTCACGATAGATTAGATAAATAATTATAATAATATAACAAAATTATTTTTTTACTTAAAATCTCTTGGCTATTGCAGTCAATGCGGAATAAATAAGAGAAAGAGAGAGAGAGAGAGAGAGAAAGAGAAAATTTAGAAAGATCAATCCAAAGTTTCGTTTATCGATCTAATATTGTTCGTGTCTCGCTGTTTCGAAGAAAATATTACTCGGCATTACATCCGGTACTTTGTTCCCGCCTGCGAAGGTCCTATTGGCCTTCAACCTTTCTGTACTTCGTCTTCGGTGGCATCTCAACGAAAAATTGCCGAAGGAACGACATTATTGCACGTTGTCGTGACCAATCCCCATCGACATCATCGTCCTTGTTGCAGTAGCACCGTACTCTATTATGTACTTTATTGAATCATTGTATCATCTCTCCCCATTCCCGACTCTTCCTCCACTTTCGTTCATCCCTTTCACAATGTCCTCTTTTACTAGCTAGGAGTGATTCGTAAGAAGTTTAGTAAGTATAAGAAATAGACACGTTCTTTTTCTCTTGATCTGGCAAAAGCACAGTGAAAGCGCAACAAAACATGCAGTTAATTTCTCATCTCTCTGCGGTATGCCGCATATATCTGGTTGCAATTGTGTGTAAATAATATGCAAAGTATAAACTTTACTGATATATCAAATCATATTTTGAAAAAAAAAAAGACAGAATCAATATCAAAGTTGAAGTTAAAGTTCTTAGAAAAAATATGCAAAAATTATAAAAATATTGAAAGATGCATCAGAAGAAGTGACGTGTTGTTTTCTCTAAGCAGTTTGTAAACATTTGTTGAGAGAAAAAGTTTCAATTTTAATATTTTAATTGAAGAGTTCCGAGAATGTTTCAGCGAAAATATTAGTGTAATAAATGCACAGAAGGATTCTTCTTTACATTGTATTAATTTAGTATTAAATAAGTTGTGTGAATTAAAATAAGTTTTATCTACAAAAATTATGAAAGTGAAAATTATAAAAGTGGACAGCTCGATGTATCTGAAGGTATCCAGCAGATACTCGTAAATACTATGTATATCTCGAAATATGAGGATAGTTAATTATTGATTTAGCGTCCTCGATAAAATTTTCAACGTAACCAACATAAATCAATTTGTAGCGACCGCATCCAGTTTTGCGTTGACATTTGCAATCGATCGAAACGATTCGCGTTCGTAAATTGTACAGAATGGCGCACAATCGATTGGCAGCAGCAAAGAATCGGCCTTCGGAGTATCGACATCAATGCTAAATATGTTACACGCTATAAACCGATGCGAGAAACAACGTTACAATCATTTCGAAGAAAGTATATCGAGTACATCGTGATATTGTATCGTTACGAAGAAATATTGATGTAATTCAATCGCTTAAAATTACATATGTAGAAGTTTGCTAAAATAGGGCAGCCATCATCAGAAGTGACGAGCTCGGCGTTCGATTGCACGTCGCAATTAAGATCTAGGTGATTGATCGTTCCTGTCAAACACGAGTATTCCGGAAAATGTCGAAGATGATCTTCGGGGAAGAGGTGGCGTTAAACGAGACAACGGAGACGAGAAAGAAAGGACAAAGAAGCAAAATAGGAAGAGAGAAGATTGAACTTAACTGGGGTCAAATTGACTCTAGTAGGGAGTCCCTGCATTCAATATGGCGACTTCCTAATAGAGTCAGGCTGACTCCTTTTAAGACGTTCACCAGGCGAGGAACTGTCTCTCGTGGAAGTACTTAAGAGCGTGCGCTTTAAACGAAGTTAAGGCCACTTAATTTACAAAGCGTTAGTTAATTTAACGGTAGCGAGACGAAGGTGTCACCAGCGATCTGCGACAGGTTTATGGAAAACAGCACCGCATGGGAGATGTTGCTCATGACGTGATTGATTGAGCACGTCGTGTCATATTATATCAGTTCATTTTAGAAATAAAGTCTTAGAATTTGTATCATTTGTACAATCAAAAAATATTTTTTATACCTTCTACGGAAATACGTATAATTTGAGAACTAAATTCACATATATATTTGTAAATAAAAATTGTAATTAACATGAAAATAGATGCTCAAGAAAAATATCAGTCCGTAATGCGATACACGTCCTTTGAAACCTACTATAACCCCAAATCCCCGATAGGGATCTCAGATTCCAATCTTCCCATCGCGGTAAGATGACTTCGTATCAGATGTTGTGTCTATTTATAGCACTGACAAAATTTATGATGCCGACAGGGAGTGTCGAATTCCTTCTACGTTTCGCAAACTAATAATGCACGATAATGATAACGGTAATGATGATGAATATGTATATATATAGTAGCAAATATTTAAATTAATGCAATTTAGAAAATTTTATAAAATGGAAAATTTTTCTAAAATTTCTATAAAACTTGATAAAATACATAAAAATATCTTTACATATATATATATTTACATATATATATATATATATATATATATATATATATATATATATATATATATATATACGATATATATACATATATATAGTCTTAGAACATATATTATATCTGTTTAGTATTCTGTTTTTAAATTCTAGTTAATAAGAAAAAGAAAGACGTTTGTACGTAGCTGAATAGTTACATAAGAGTGCAGAATATATTGAAGCGAAGGCTGCATGAAAGGACGCAGGCCTCAAAAACACCGCAATGCGACTCACTCTGCGGGCTTCATAGACGACACACTGTACTAATATCATTAGAATAATCGAGTGCAAAACTACGAAATATAGTTTATTTATCTATCATCACCATTAATAATTGTAATTATTGTATTGTACATCTATGTTAAAAATTTAACAGAAACATATTATGTATGTCATATTGCAATTGGACAATATTCATAATCATCTCTTCAAGAATAAGGATTATTTATGCATATTTTTGCCAAGAAACGGCTGTGAGTATTACTCAACATGATGTTTCGAAAGATCTCTTCTTCCATTTCTTTTATTTTTAATTTTGCAGTTGTAGAAAATTTTTCTTTATTTTAATTTGTCTATTTTTTTTTATCTTTTTTAAGTAATTTGCGTGAATGTATGCGGGTTAAAAGCGCCGCGTGATAAATCGTCGCGCAGCCGTAATCCGACGTATAATAATGTTCTCATAATTTCGAGCATGTGAATGGACAGAAGCGCATATGCAGACGCAGATGCAGGAGGCGCACGGATATGTTGCACGTGCATCGAGGAGCATTAATTAACGTCAGGATCAGAGCATCAGATTTGACGCTGCCACGAGGTACAGTGCTCGTTTATCCTTGCGCTATCTGTCTCCTCGACGTAACGCGCGATGTACGTTGAGAGATTGAGAGTTTGAGAGAGAATGTACGCTCGTGCGAAATATGTAGTCATACAGCTAAATCCGCAGATAAAAAAAGATGGGCTTCTTCTACATCTATAAGTAGACTTGTCTCGCAATGCCTCTATTGTTTTGAAAGCACTCTTGGAACTCCTCAATTAAAACGCCACTCAGACTATCAGTCGCAACTTTTTCATAATTTAACAGATAAATCCGAAATTAAAAGAATAAAATATATTTACGAGTTTAATTGTCGAATTATATTTGTCAGCTGATGACTAAATTTTTTACATTTAATGAAATAATTTTCTCGAATAGCAAAAATTCCAGACGTAATGCATTTTCCCCCAAAGCGACAAATTCGGAGAACGGCATTCATGATGTCGCTTTTAACGTGCACCATTATTCATTACATAACAAATCATTTTACTGAAAGGCAGCGATAATTGATGAGGCCTTGGTCAGTAGTATAATCACGCTACGCATATTCCAGGCAACGATAATACTCATATATAGGGCATATACAGGCGACCGTAGTACTTGTACGACTAATGTCGTGTTCGGTTCCCACTGCAATTGAGTTTATTGTTTGTCACGAGAGTACCAAGAGTACAAAGCGCCAATATTATGTGCGAAAAGGATCGTTGTCCACTATATATTGAACGTATAAATTGGATATTAAATAATAGAATAAAACAAATATTATATGATAATAAAATGTGAAATAATATGAAATATACAATACATTTATTATATTTATTTTTATATATTATATATTATATTACATTTATTATATATGTATTAATAAAATAATAAAATAAAATGGTAAATTAATGTACAAATGTAATGTACAAATTTAATAATTGCTACTATTCACGCGAAATATTGGAAAAAATTTATTTTATACGAGATACAAATCTTTTTTGAAATATATTATTATTTATTAGCTCTCGGGCTCTTTAACTGTATACCGAGCAAGTGATTTTGCATTGCAAACTGATTGTAAAATAAATTCTTTTCAACCTGATTTTGAACGCCACGCTTTCAACACCGAGAATAGAGTTCTAAATTCCTTTATTTTGCTTGATGAGATATTGTTTTCTTCGATTTACAGTATAACATAAAGAAACGAGAGGAAGTGCAAGAGATCCAGCAAGAAGAACCTAATCCTCTGATGCGAAAGAAGAAAACGCCGGAGGAACTGGCGGCTGAAGCCGAAGCCGAGGACGAGGACGATTTCACTAGTATGTTCACAATTTCATTTCGATATACAAAATGTAAAAAGAATTGTTCTTTTAACCAATAACCAGCTTGATACAAGAAAACAAGAAATACTAAAAATTTCTATCTTTTTTTGGAAAGAATTTATATTTTTTTTTAATTAAACGTTTAATTTTATGACTAATATTATAAATAAAAAAATGTGTTTAACGGCAATTTAAATTAGAAATTGCGTTTCCCGGAATCTGTGCAAACCTGAGACTATGTCAATCTATTGATTTTCTGCGCATATCTGGCGCGCAGTTTTCTCTGTAAAAATAAAACTTGTTTTAATTTTGCAGACACAAATCAAATACTATTCTCTTTATCATTATTTGCGAGAGAATGTTAATTAGGGTTCGTGTATATTAAGATGTACCAGTACCTAAATAATAAATTAATTCCTCAGGGAAATTACTCTAGACTATACGTGCTTGAACACATGGCAACACTAGAGGGATTCAGAAACATTTGCCAGCGTATTTGCCCGAGTGTATCCAGACATGTATACCTTATTGCAAATAAATTGCTATCTGTCATAAGATACGTTATGTGATACATGTACAAAAGCTGTTACCACATTTATATAGACATGTTATATTCTTGCTCAAAGCTTCATTGTGAATATTTTTGTTTTATCAAACAATTTCGCTTCGATTGTTTCAGAACTGAGGAACACGATAGAAACGCAGGTGAACGAATTCAAAACGCAAATCGAAGCAAAGTGCAACCTCCAATGAGCCTATCACTCCGCGCGGTACGCGAGAAAGATGACGACGCCGTACGTCGTCGTCAGAATCGCGTCCGTTTCTCATCCTCTGTTGTCCGAAAGAACAAAGAGGCAAGGGGTAGCGGAAGATATAACAAAGCAGCGAGAAAGCGGAGGAATAACACGTGAAGTAGCCATCAGCATTGGGATGCCATCGTCGTGTCGACCAATCGTCGATCGATTTCAATGGTCGATTGGTCGATCGTTGCTTAGAGCAAAGTGAGCGACGAGAACGATCCAGAGGACTTGCCAAGATTTTCCAGGGAATTCCTGAAGGATCTTTCATTGCCGTCAAGATTGGATGCAACTTTGGAAATCGGAAATGATCCCGTTGAGAATTTTGTTCTAAACAAAACTTAGGGATGATCCAAGAAGAAAAATTGCTTCTCCAATTGTTTAAAATATATAGAGAAATACGAAATGGATTCAAAAGGTTGAAATTTATGGAATATTGTGAATTTACAAATTCGCACCTGCTGAAGGAAATTAAAAACCAAATTTCAAAGATTTCATTTCGAGAAGAGTTTAAGCTTCAACAAAGCCAATATTTAGAATTTAAAACAAATTATTGACTAAAAATGCGAAGCTGAATTTTAGACAAATTACAATGCAATTATGTTCTAAACAGATTAGAATCTAAAAAAATTCAGCAGGAATTCAATAAGGAACAAAATGTGACGTAATACGAATTTCATTGGACATCATAAATCTTCAAATATTAACTAAATAAACGATAGAATTAAATTTATACGCTAAATAGAAAAAAAAATCAGAAGACAAATTAAATCAGCAGATAAAAGAATGGAGTTGAAGATGCTCGCCGTTAAGTCTCTCAATCCCTGCGACGAGCAACTAAAAACTTTAGTAAAATAAAAGTTTCCGTAAACTTGGATGAATGCGAAAAAATTCTCGACGGACGTCCCGATATTCCCCAATACAATGCAACGAAGAAAAACAGACGACATTGAAGAAAAAGATCATGAAGTCGAAGATCACACCAGGAGAATCGATAAACACACTATGGATGATCGCCTTGAATATATGAAATAGGACAAATAAGTACACAAAATCGGTATGTTTCTTGATAAAACGGAGAAGACAAGATTGCATAAATCAATATATCGCGGGAAAAAAATTCGACATCTGTAGAAACCTAATCTCATCTGATTTGTAAAGTAAATCACGTGGCAAGACGGAAGAAGATTTCCAGAAGAGCGAGAGGAAAGATGTTTGAAATATTGTCGATCGTCAATGGTGTTCGTGATGGGAAAGTTCAGAAGGGAAAAGTGATGTAAATGATGACGAAGGCAGAAAGGGGAAAAATAAGAGAAAAAGAAAGAAAGAGAGAGAGAGAATGCTGACTCGACCAGAGTGTGATTTTTTTATGTCATTGTTGCAGTTAAAACAAAGTGCGAAGTGACGTTGTTTTATATAGGATAATTAGGTGTTCTGTAGAATGTGTTTAGGCGTAGTATAGTTTTATGACGAATCAATTATCCGATATGACGAGTGAAATATCCAATCGGGTGGGTAATCGAGTTATTTTCTATTTATAGTTCGTCTAGGTGTTTCACACACAAAGTTACGGAGAATTTTTGGCGCAATTTGGTGGTTTGAAAATCAGCCAATAGATTCATCGTTCGATTATTATCAATGTTAACGTTTCGTTCATCTAGATATTTTACGGAATTACCTATTTATTCTACTACGTTCCAAGATCGATATTATTATTGTCGCACACGACGAACGTTTCGGACATATTGATTGATTCTCGGATAGGGATGCTCTATATAATTAGACGCGCGATTTTTGGAACGATCTTTGAAAACGTTTTCAGGTAATCATCGAGACTTTCCAAGTTCTCTATCCAACATCAATAATTGGCGCAAAGTACATCTGAGAGATTGTTTCGCGACAACAGTAATATTCTATCTTTGAGGTCTTACTATAGTTGCCGCACGATCAGTCGGTCAGACGTACTTATTAGCTGTCCGACAGGAAACTTCGGACATAGTTGGGTATTTGAACACGAAACCTCAAACTTCCCTATTAGATGATCAATTAACAGTTCCGACATATTCGTCGTATGAACCTCTATACTACTGCATATACAGTCGGCATTAACTATCTCTGGATTAATTGCTGTCCCTTTCTATCGTGTTATAAACCCTTCTCTTAGGTGGTAATCGCGTTGCAGCTTTTGACTATAGAATTATGGATTGCTAGCTGTACAGTTTCTATCATGATATACAAAAGACAAGGTGCAAAGCTCCGTCTACAGTGAGAAAGAACAGACAACGTAAGTAAAAATAATCCCAAATAAGCAAGATAACAGAAATGTAATTAAAATATGGAAAAAATTAATGAGCAAATATATTAAAAAGTGAAGTTATTGGTAAAAGCTGAGCCAATATCGGTTACGATATTGGCTCAATATTTTCAATATTTGAGATTAATTTTTGATTAATTATGCGCTACTTTTTTATCGAACGCATTAACCTTGTCTTTTTACGTCATGATTTCTACGTACACAATACATAAAACATGCAATAAACATATCAAAGCCGGATATATTCATGCGCCTAGTGCATTTAAATTCATAATTATTGATATTAAATTGCAAATAATTTAAATTCATCGATTTAATACCTACGCAGAATCTACAAGATCGAAGGGAGCAGATGCGATAATAAGATAATGTGTGTGACAGTGTAATATCCCTCAAAATTCTGTCAAATTACACATTATTTCTCTCGACCGGCAAGCAAAATTTTACACTAGCAGTTGATATTTTATAGTTAAAGGTTTTAGACTCCTTTTTAGAGTCCAAAAAAAATTCAATTACAATGCAGCGCCGTCTGGTCGCGCAGCATACGGCTCTCAAAGCAGATATTATGCTTGCAAATATCACGTGCTCTAAAACAAGGCGCAGGGCGGAAAGTTTAGCCCCTCTCGTTCGCTACGATGCAATGACGATGGATCTTAATATATATACATATTATATATATATATAAATATATACATAAATAAATATAGATAACTAAGAAAAGACGAAAGAAGCAAAAAAAAAAAAGAAACGTACGTTAGCACGTTAAGTTTTTAGGAAAGGATTTTTGGATAGTGAGAAAATAATAAAAAATAGCTGAGTTATATAGTAGATAAAAGTTCGTTCGCGCGCGACAAACTGTTTCGATATATTAAGGGGAGAGGGAAATGACGAAGGAGGAGTTCTTATTATTATCGTCATTATTAGTAATGCTACCATGATTATTATTAAGATTCCGTATTTAAAGATCAACATCGAGCGCCATGGAAGAATCGCCACGAAATATAAAAGATGATAATTAGTAATCCTCGCTCTGCCATTTTTCCAATAAATCCGAAAAGAAAAGTGTTAATTTAAAAAAAGTTAAGTGAGAAGCGAAAAGTGACATCAACATGATGGACAATTTATTGGATTCAATCAAAACCAACGGAAGACCTAAATGAGCCAAACTCAGGTTCTTGGTCCTTTTTTATACTTTTTGGATTTTCTAAGTCTTCAGTTGTATTCATTACGTCTTCAACCATTCAATCAAATCTTGAAATTGAAATTTTTATTATTATTACCATTGTGAGTCGTAAATTCATTTCTTCTAACAAAAGATTTATGAAAGCTTTTGAATATTCTGATAATGTCATTAAATTATTTTAAGGTTTCCTCTATGCTTATATTTTTACATTTTGATTCTATTTATAAACGCAAATGCGTGAATAATGGATGAGTTAAGCAGGACGTAGACTGCAAATTTAATCAATGTGCGACTTGAGCACATATATGCCATATTGATGTGATACTCATCGAATCAGAGAGGTTTAAATTGGATTTTGCACTAATCGACTTTGTTACTACGCGGGATATTTCATTTTTGGTTCTCTTTAATTATATAAAACATTACGCATTTATAGTACGCTGAACTGTACCTAATTTTTTATTTTATCTATCATGTTTGTTTTTTAATGCAAAATAATACCAATCGGACTTTCTAAATCTTTTCTAATAAAATCTATTCAGAAAAGAATGGGTTTTGAATTTATCAGAGTGCAATTTTGAAAATATCCTGTCACTAATCTACACATTCGGAATTAATGCATGTGAAATTTATATAAGGAAAGTTACAAGAAACGGGGACGCAGATATAAAAAGTGAGAGGAAAAAAAACGTTTAATATTTTATAGAGTCATTTTTGTACGGGAGACGAAGAAGCAAAGTGTATTTTTTTATTTTGGACGAAATACTAAATTTTTTTCACGCGTTTTTTTCTTAGCGTTTTTTAGTGTTCCTTACCCTTAAATGGCAGGGTAATTGTATAATAAATTAGTGATGCATTTAATTCGTAAATGTTAAATAACAAACTGATAATAAAGCGATAAGTTTGTTTCACTACTGATAGAGTGAGGTCAAAGTGATCTAGTGTGATAAAAGGTTGTATTATTATTTATATATTTTTCTAATTAATTTTGTTCTTTATTAACTTAATTTCTTTTAGATATGAAATAAAATAAGGTAAGGAAAAGCTATATATAATTGTTTGAACAACCCTGATAAGTTTAATTTCACAAAGTTTGAAAGACTGAAGCTTGAAAATAAAATTAATGATAGAATATTTGCAAAATGCAGATCATTTGGACGTCACTTTATTGGTTTACAGTTAAATAATCGTTAAATATCATTATATATCATTCTCTCTACAAAGAGATATGGTTATTAAATCTGTCCATTTTCTATCTTTCACTTAAATCGAACTGTCTTCTGTCTTCACTTTTTTATTGATTTAAATATGAACTGTATATACATGCATGTTATCATATTTTCCCTTACAAATGTAACATTTCTCTTCTATCGCCAAAAGCTATCACATTCTAAAGTAAAGTATGAAGAATTCTTTTTGTCTCTTTGCAAATCTCTTGCAAGCTATTGTGCGTAATTCCGCTAAAATTATGCGTAATGATGCTTGGTAGCCGTACAGAATACGACACTTGAAAGTATATTAAAATTTTATCTATATTTATTTCAAAAAATACTTTCTTTATTAAATTTTGATTTTATCGTATTCTTAAATTTTTTTCCTCTTTAGATGATTAATAAAATAAAAGCAAAGACATAAAAATAAGTAAATAAATAATAAAAACAAACGAATATCTACCATGACTACCGAATCGGGAAAATAAAACATTATTTTTATATTTATTGAATTTTTTTACAATTTATACAAAGATTACTAGTCTTATAGATGTTGTGGCCCAAAAAACTCGGACATTACTATCCGAGAGTTAATTATCATCGAGCAAACGGTATTCCGCATGCGCAAGCAATCGAGAAGGCATTTTACTTTCCGCATTTATTCCGCATTTTTATCGCGAAAAACCGCGAACTTTCTCCCGCAATTCGCGAAAACAGCAATACCGCCTTCAAAGTTTGTGAAGTTCGGCGGTGGCCGAAAGTTTTGCAAAAATCGCTGACAATGCTCTACTACCCTTCCTTTTTTCTCAGTTTTATCCCTTTCAGTTTCTCCCCTATTTCTTTCCCCCTTTGTTCCCTTTTCTCTCTCTCTCTCTCTCTCTTTCTCTCTCCCTCTCCTTTTCTTTTTTTTCGATTTCCGGCGGAAAACTTCGCCGTTCAATGCGACTCCGCAGCTGTTTGCTCGCGAAAAACAAACAAAAAACTTTTTACTTCAGCATTTGACTTACCCCCGTTCTCCTTTCGATCCTGCTCGGGAGACGGATGAGGATTTCCATAGGCTTAAAGTTCCACCTAAAAATATGATTTGTTATTTTTAAAAATAAGGTTTAATCGAGTGATAAATCATAGATTTCACAAATACAACAAGAAATCGATTCCTGCTGGAGACATTCAATTGATAAAAAAATTATTTAATAATTTAACAATGAACTATTTAAGCTTGTGAAAAAAGTTAGCTGTGTATGTCAGATCACAGAATTGAATGTGAGTTGCCCCTATATATTTTTACTCAATAAAATTTCTTTTACCAGATCAAGTTTCTATTATGCATATTTTGATGTTTTCTTACGCAGCAGAATATGATCTTGATTGACAGAATCTAAATTTAAACTCCAGCGATTCACGCATGAGAATCAAGGAGAGGATCGATTATAATATATACAGAATGCAGAAGGAACGAAAAATTATTTTTTGCAATGTATTTTTGATGTGTACTCGATGTGTAATCTCTTTCGCGTGTCTGTCGATGTGCATTTCGAATATCTTCTCCGCTTGTCGTGTCTTCTTCTTCATCAATGTCACTGGCTGGCTGGTCTTCTTCGTCGTGCAGCTTATCGCTCTCGTGTAACTGTCCGTCTGGCTGAAGATCTTCGAAAATTACCCTGTGATGGGTACTTCGATTCCGCGATTAATCCCAATTGACGCAGGCGATATATACCGTAACCTACCTTCAAAGAAGTTCTGTTACGCGTTTTATTCGAAGATGAATTTTGACTCTTTTATACATTGTATTTTATTCATTTGCGAAAATTATGAAAAATATACAATAACTTAAAATCTATTGTACAATACGCGAGATGCAATTATAATTTATATGTCTGTTTATTTCTATTAAAAATTATAATCATTAAGTCTTTATAATTATATTTTATTCATAATGTTATTGAAGTATATATTTACAATATTTATTATTATTATTAGTGTAGAATTTTATTGTTAATTTTATAATTGTTATAACACCGTTTATTCGATACAGAATTTATTTTGAATATCTATTGCCAGCCTCTTAGCTTTAGGATATCAATTAATATAATCAAAGAAGAATTATATATATATACAAAAAGATTATATATATACATATATAATGCATACATATATATCTACATATTTTGTTATCAGAGCTAAAAAGATAATGGATAACGAGGTCATTTTCGAAGATCCGATCTCGACTAAAATCTACGCTCTTTCCTCTAAAGTCTTGCATGTTTGATTACCCTAATTAAATCTCATAACTGCAAATTAGAGCACTAAAATTCAAAGATTTTTATTTTATCATAAAATTAGCAAGTTAATGATATTGTATAAATTATGATAAAATCTTCTAATGTCTTTTGTTTCAAAAAATTTCAAAATTTACAATTTTTATATAATTACAATTATTTTGCAAATAAACGGAATAATTTTTTATATTTACAATAAAATTTTAACAATTATTATTTTACAAAAAAAATTATACTGATAAAAGCATTAATTTAAAAAAAAAGTTATTGAGTTTTCATATATTGGCATGTCAAAATTGAAAATCAAAAAGTTAAAAGATTTTTCCGATTTCCGAATAAAATTAAAAATATCTTTTTACTTTTTGACTTTCCTTCGTACGTCGTGGTTATGAGTTTTGAATTAGGGCACTAATATGTGTGCAATGACATCGTCGCTGTATTCTTCGAACATCCATGCGATGTGCCGTTCAAATTATATCCGAAGCGATGTTATACTCAAAGTCAATTACTCAATGTAAATCGATCTACCAAAGATATATGCATTTTCTCGTATAATTTTCGATATATGCAGTATTTATCCGCTGTAGATGCGTACTGAGTATATTCATGGAATTGATCAAGAACTGCACAAGCGGAAGCATTATCTTCTCCCAATATGTTAGAATTTATGAAACTTATAAATCTCAACATAAAATATAAATATACAAAATACATTATATATCATTTTCTATATTTTTTCTAATCTTTGTACATAATCGATGTAATTTTTATAATATTTAAAAGTTCTAAGAATTCAGGAACATATAGAAAAGTTGAAATTTTAGGATTCAACAAATTATTAGTTAAAAGATGACAAATTCGATAAATTATAATTTTGCAAAAAAGCAAATCTTTACTAAAGCTCTACGAGGATGAATGCTCCCGCTTGTACAAAAAGACGTGGCGACGCACTTAAAGGACCAGGAATGTTCCCCGGAACAAATTTTGATCAACAGTTATAAGCGAAATGTAATTTAAAAAAACCATTAACACCCAATAATTTAACTCCTCTAGCGAGAAATAGATAAATTCACTGTGTCAAGACACCGAGACGTTATCCTGGTCTACTTAATCGTAATGGCCACTTAAACGCAGCAATTAACAGTGAACGTAAAATATTTTGCTTAATCGCTCTCTCTCGTCTCACTTATCGCGACTTACTCTCCTTTAATCGTAATCACTCTGCATTAATCTCTGTACTAATCTCTCTATTAGCTGCTGTTGCTCTAGAAAACGTTTGATGTGTCTCTATGTAGCGTTTGAAAATGTGGAAATCAAGATGTTGGTGTGATACATTAAACAAATCTATTTCTATTTCGCCGAAAGGCAATTTTTGTTACTTAATTTTGTATTTCCTATTTAATTATAACTATCAATTTTTCGAAC